CTATATGGTGGTCGGGGTGGTTTGGACAACCACATCAACAAATAAATCAACCAGGTAATTACTTAGACCAACCATTGAATTAATACTAATAACCATACATGTACATGTACGGAAAGCATGATATTTTACAATACTAGTATGGTATACATTTCTTTAAAAGGAATATTATTAGTCTCCAACCACCTCTAATCTTTTTCTAGGCAGAACCCTCATCACAAGATACAATGTAGTGTTACTAGTGTAACATCAAACGAAATTATATCATATACGTCAAGAGTAGATGATGGTTTAGATAAACTGATTAAAAAACTATCAATACATTACTATCATGAACATCACTGGCAGGCTATAAAGATACTACCGTATTTCCTCGTGGAAACGCCTAGGCATTTATTTCTTATAGAGACCTGTTTGCTAGGTGTTTAAATGAAGTAGGCATTTATACGAGGTGGGCATTTATAACCCAAAAATAATCCTTACCACCATGTTTCAATAGACACAACGCGTAGTTTAAAACTGACATCAAAACTTCTGAGTTTCTTTAGCCTTCTCAGCTGCAGCTGCCATTGTAGAATGTAAACTACTAAACTACGTAAGGTACATGTACCACGTGGATGGGGTAGGTGGGTGTGGTATAGGCTTTTAATCAAGAATGGGCGTCTAAACAAGCATGGGCGTTTATTGTCAAAGTTATGTGCTGTCTCTAGGCATTTATACAGGCATGGGCGTTTATAGGGAGTAGGTGTTTCCACGAGGAAATACGGTAATTGAATTTCTCAGTGCATGTCTCATTGGATCATGTGATACTACAGTCAGTGTTGCTGTGAATTGTGACACCTGTACATGGCACTACTCAGTAATGCATGAGACACCAGACATTGCACGTCTACTGGAATTTTCGTGTACTTGCATTTACTTGTATTTTGAAAAAAGCATGTCGTGATGTACTTGTATTCATTGGCAAATTTTTGTGTATGTACATATACTTATTGCTTCCCAAATTCATCTATAATTTGGTAATTTTTCGTTTACTTTTCATGTATCCTCTACTTAAATGTTGAATCATTGAAAGGCTAATGTCTTCATCACCTTTTCTATTGCTGTTTTCATCATCTGCTATTGCTAGAAGGACTGAAAAGACCATCAAAGATCCGTGGTTAAGGAAACTAACTGCCATTTTGACTGCTATGTGGACACACCCTTTAATTATTAATAGTTAATATAAATACATGAAAATCGTCTCCTTAAACTCCGTCTACTTATTTTTGGTTCATGTATATACTTGTATGTACTAGAAGACCTGTTTTTCGTCTAAATACTCATGTATCGTGTATACACGTGCAATGTCTGTGAGACACTACTGTCACAATTATGAACAAACTATCATAATGGAGGAGTGAAGAGAGGGAGGAAGGATCAGGAATCAGAAAAACATTTGAAACAGGATTACAATTATACATAAGCATACGAAACATACATACAGCATATTTGCTTCATTTAAACAGCTGATCATTTGTAACAATATATATGGTGTATGTATATATACATGTAATGTTAAAGGTATAAAGGTTCATTACATGTACTCTATATTCCCGTACTGTACATGTACTTTAAAATCTGGAACAAAATTACTTGTTAATCATTACTATATACTATATCCCAACTGAACGGTTTGACACCAGCCGCTTGGAATTTGAAAAATGTAGTTTACGTCACTGATGACGTCTTATAATGATATGCATAGAAGCATGGCCGACATTTTACAGCTGTGTGGTTGGCCTGTGTTTCACTCTTAAATGGGTTTTGTTTTTTCTGATAAGCAGTACAATAGTTGCTGGAGTCAACTAGTCTTCATAAAGACCATCATTATCAAAAGATCTAGCTCTGTTAGCTTTTAAAAAGAAGAATTATCAGTTTGGGCGTTCGACCACATGTTCTTTTGTAAACTATGACATAAACAAATTGTCATAAAACGTCATTTTGGTATGCCATTGGGTTTATAGGGAGAACCCAGTTCTCAGGGTTCCCAAGGGCTGAGAAACCCAAGACCTGAGATCCTGTGATGGCATTGGGCGACTAAGAACCTGTGAAAGTTTCATCCTTATTTCACATTCCTATAAAAAGTTATTCCAGTTTTTCTTGGGTCAAACTCAGCCTAAAATGGGATATAGTATACATCATTAATTATGAAAATATTTCCTCGATTAAAAGCCTAGGCATTTATTGCTCATTAAAAAGGACAGAAATCATGTGATATTGAATAAAAAATGCCAAAACATGAATTGAAGCCCACTATATTGGGATAGGAGGTTGCAGATTAACAGTTGGGCTATTTAGACCAACTTACAAATAGAGTTCCATGATACTGGCTAAACTATGTGTATTTAGAGTCTATTAGTGACAGGCATCTATTTGATGAGGCACTTATTTGACGAAATACCACATGCATCACAATGCAGATAGTGATAAAACCTTTATATCATAAACTGATTAAAAAACTATCAATTCATTACTATCATGAACATCACTGACAGGCTATAAAGATATTGATTGAATTTCTCAGTGCATGACTCATTGGATCATGTGATACTACAGTCAGTGTTGCTGTGAATTGTGACACCTGTACATGACACTACTCAGTAATGCATGAGACACTACTGTCACAATTATGAAAAAACTATCATAATGGAGGAGTGAAGAGAGGGAGTAATCTTAAATAAACAGGATTATAGTGTACATGTACATTCCCTACAGATAAAATATTTGCTTGATTTAAACGTCGCAGAATTTGTCACAATATACAAGTAAAATCAATAGTGTTAGTACTGTGTATTCAAGAATAGCAGCCT